GAGACCCGGGTTCGGTTCCCGCTAAGGACATGTACCTCGGTTGCAGTTTGTCCCCGGCCCTGGTTGGGTCGTGTGGGTGGCAACCACTCAATGTGTCCCTTTCATGTCAATGTCTCTCTCTCTCTCTCTCTCTCTCTCTCTCTCTCTCTCCCCCTCCCTCCCACTCTATCTGAACAAAAAATAGAAAAATATCCTTGGGTGAGGATAAAAAAAAGAAATAATGGCTGAAAACTTTCCTAACCTGGAAAAGGAAACAAACACCCAGTCCAGAAAGCAAAGAGATCTCCAAACAAGATGAACCCAAAGATACTCACACCAAGACATATTGTAATTAAAATGACCAAAGTTAATGATGAAAGAACAACCTTGAAGGAAGCAAGGGGGAAACAACAATACATACAAAGGAAACCCCATATGGCCATCAGCTGATTTCTCAGCAGCAGCTTTACAGGTCAGAAGGGAATCACAGGACATCTTTAAAGTGCTAAAAGAGGAACGTACAACCTAGAATAATTTACCCAGCAAGGTTATCATTCAGAATTGAAGGAAAAATAAAGCTTTTCCCAGGTAAGCAACAACTAAAAGAATTCATCACCATTAAAAACCACTTTAAAAACCTGGCTGTTGGAAAAATGAGTGCCTGCACAAAGCACAGGAACTCCCATATTTTCCTTCTGTATTTAAACCAGTTATTTATCTACAATGTGGCCACACACCTCCAGATTTCCGAGAAGTGCCAGTAAGTCTTCTGCCAAACAGCTTCAGTGTAAGATGAAGCCTACAGACACCAGCTTGGGTTTCTAGCCTTAGGAGACCATGTCCCAGAACAAGACCCTTGATGTCATCCCACCTACGTTAACCACGCGGAAGGGCTTTCTCAGGTGAAGCCTGTTTCACTGAAGTTAACTGACCACTGTCAGGCCTTCACTGTTGAGTGTTGAAATTGGAAATAGTTCAGGATGGAATAGCCCCCTTTCCTCAGATTAAGCCTAGATTATAGACAACCAATGGGGTGGAAGAATACTGTGATTTAAATGAAGATTTTAATTTAGCAGATGACAGCAAGTAGATGCTGAAGTTTAAATACGTGTAACTGGCCCTGGCCGGTTTCGTTCAGTGGTTAGAGCGTCGGCCGGTGGACCAATGAGTCTCAGGTTCGATTCCAGTCAAGGGCACATACCTCGGTTGCGTTTCATCCCCAGCCCTGGTTGGGGTCGTGCCAGAGGCAACCAGCCGATGTGGCTCTATCACATCAATATTTCTCTTTGTCTCTCTCTCCCTCCCTCCCTCCCACTCTATCTGATGATAAATGGAAGAAAATCCTCAGGTGAGGAATAAAAAAGAAAAGAAAAAAAAAATGTGTAACTGTAAGTAGCTCAGTTTTAAATTATGAGATAATTTCTTTGTCAGATAAAAGGATTTGTCTGCCTTCCTTCCTTCAATTCCCTTCCTTCCTTCCTTCCTTCCTTCCTCCCTCCCTCCCTTCCTTCCGTCCTTCCTTCCTTCCCTTTCTAAGGTAGGTGGGATGACATCCGAGGGTCTCATTCTGGGACATGGTCTCCTAAGGCTAGAAACCCAAGCTGGTGTCTGTAGGCTTCATCTTACACTGAAGCTGTTTGGCAGAAGACTTACTGGCACTTCTCAGAAATCTGGAGGTGTGTGGCCACATTATAGATAAGTAAGTGGTTTAAATACAGAAGGAAAATATGGGAGTTCCTGTGCTTTGTGCAGGCACTCATTTTTCCAACAGCCAGGTTTTTTTTAAAGTGGTTTTTAAAAATTTCCCCAATGAGATCTGACGAAGGAACCAGGGACACACGCCTCCACAGTAGGGGCTTGGGGCTTTTTTGCAGGCACTTGAGAAGGCTACTGCTCCCTTTTTCCTCCAAGGTCTTTAATGGAGTTTTGCGCCTCTTCTGGGTTTGCAGCCTCTCGCTGAGGGAGGCCGGAAGGGCTGTGTCTTCCTTTTGTGAGCCTCCTGCTGGGCCCCACAGGCTGGGCCCCACCATGGTTTAACATGACTGCTTGTCCTGATTCCTGGCCTGAGGAACACCCCCAGAAAGTCAGCCGAGCCCAGGGATAGGCTAGATATAGGGCACATGGAGAAAGGAGGTACTTTTTTAAAGGTTGGAAAGGGCAGAACAGAGGAAAGAAAGTCAGACAGGAGAGTGAGTCAGAAGCCAAGGGCCTGGCAGGGGGAAAGTGCCAATTGAGCAGAGTGAAGCCCCTAACTTTCAGAGGAGCACGAGTGAGGAGATTGTGGCCACTAAACTCTAAACCTACTAACAATGAAGGTTTGTGAGGGGCTATACACGTGGAGGTTTTGTAATTGAGTTCTCCTTCCAGAAAATGTGCCTGAGCTTTCCTTTCTCTCTTCAGAAGGCCCCTGTCCATTCTCAGCGAGGGGGAACAGAAGGCATTTTTCAGCACTGACCACAAGGTGGCGCCAGACACCCGGAGACGTAATGAGAGCCTTCCTTCCAGGTGGGCTCTAGAAAGTGGAGCACTTGCCCTGAAGGAAATGAGTCAGGCCGGATTGAAAGGAAACAGATCTGCACCCACAGGAAGTTAGCCTAAGGAAATAAGGCACACAGAAAATAAGTGGGAAGTTTTTTTAAAGCGATGTGGTGGAGTAGCACAGAGGTTAGGTAGGCAGATAGTCTACAGTCACTCTGTAGAAGGATCTCTCTCTCTCTCTTTTTTTAATCTTCACCCTAGGACACTTTTGCATTCATCTTCAAAAAGAGCAGGAGGGCCATGACCGGTCTGGCTCAGCGGTTAGAGCGTCGGCCTGCGGTCCAGAGAGACCCGGGTTCGGTTCCCGCTAAGGGCATGTACCTCGGTTGCTGTTTGTCCCCGGCCCTGGTTGGTCGTGCAGGTGGCAGCCACTCGATGTGTCCCTTTCACGTTGATGTTTCCCTCTCTCCCTCTCTCTCCCTATCTGAACAAAAAATGGGAAAAAAATGTCCTCGGGTGAGGATAATTTAAAAAAAAAAAAAAAGCGGGAGGGAAAGAGGGAGAGAAACATCGACATGAGAGCGACACATCGACTGACTACCACCCACACAACCCCAGCCAGGCGGGGACAAACCACAACTGATGCATGTGCCCTTAGCAGGAACGAATCCGGGTCTCTCTGGTCCACGGGCTGTTGCTCTAACCACTGAGAAACCCGGCCATGGCTCTTTATTCTTTTCTTTTTTTCTTTTTTTATTTATTGTTAACTATATTACAGATGTCCCCCATTTTTCCTTTCTTTGGCCCTCTCCACCCACTGTAGAAGGATCTTAAAAGAACTTAGCCACGGAATCCCTGGCAGGGCAGATGATAGGCAGGTTTAGAATGATTGCAAGTGGAGCAGTCAGTGAGGAAGCTGATGCAGGCATTCAGGTGGCACAGGGTTGTGGCTTGGGCCAGGACACGGTGGTGGTGGAGAAAAATGCATTCTGATTGGTGTATTTACATTTACTAGTATTCTTCATTGATACAGTGAATCAATAAACCCATCGTGACTGAAAGCAAGACTAAGTAGAAATGCATTCTATTCATCTTTTTTTGAGAATTCATTGTATTAGCATTTGCTCTTTTGTGTATCCTTATGGACTCAAGATTTCAAATGTATCGTGTGGGTTGCTGTCAGCCAAGATTCTCCTTTTGCATGCTCCTTTTAGATTCTCCTTTTGCATGCTCCTTTTAGATTCTCCTTTTGCATGCTCCTTTTAGATTCTCCTTTTGCATGCTCCTTTTAGATTCTCCTTTTGCATGCTCCTTTTAGATTCTCCTTTTGCATGCTCCTTTTAGGTTCTCCTCTTGGGGTTTTTGTTCAATGGCCCCTGGCAGTTGTTTCCTTAAGGTAGGACTAAGAAGCTGGACTAAATCCTGGGCATACTCTACTGGTAGGAGCAAAAGCAAGGACTGCAATACAGTCAGTCTTCATTTTCATCCTGTTGTAGTTCCGGAGGGGAGGAAAGGAGGTCAGGAGGTCTGGAGTGTCAGGACATAGTGCCCAAGGAGAGAGAAGGATGTAGCCAGAGGAGGCAGCCCCTCATCTATTGGGAACTAGCTTAATATCTGGTGTGTGTTTGGGCCTCAATGAATGCATGTTGGGAACATGAGAAACAACAGAATAATCCAGAGAACTTTCTATGTAGCTATATATGCCAGCAAGAGTGGATGGGCACTGTGACTAACTGTGAGAGAGACTCAAGCAGAGGGAAGTCATGGGTTATTTCTGGGTTCTGGGCTTGGACAGGTGACAGAGGAACAGTGGCCTGGGTGGAGGGACTGGGAAGAGGGAAGAAGGAGAGGGATGATCAGTGTAGTAGTATAGTCTTTATTTTTGCAAATTGAAAATGTTCCCAGTTTAAACCAAATATAAAATTAACAAATACTCTTCATGAAAGAGTCAAACGGCACAAAAGCATACAAAATGGTACAAAGGAAAGGATCTTCAGCGATCTCATCTTCCTAGAGAGAGCCCTTTGATCACTTGAAACCCCACCAGGTGAAGAGAGGGTTGTAGGTCTCTGTCTTACAGGGAAACACCTGGCTGAAGCAGTTAGACTGTCCCCACCACTGGGCTGGCTGAAAGGGGGCCAGGAAGTGGGTGTGGAGACACCAGCTCAGAGGCTCCAGAGCTGGGAGGAGTGGAGGCTAAGAAGGGAGGCACAGGCCCTGCCCATCAATCCCTCAAAAAACTCTCCCTCTCCATTCCTTCTCTGACCCTCTTTTTCTCTCCTAGTGGAGAAGAGGAACAGGAGGTTTCCAGAGGTAGGCCCTGGAAGGGGCTAAAGACACCCTTAGTGAGCTGTCTTAAGGAGAAGAGGTCCCCAAGGGGATTTCCTGTGGTGTGAAGATGGAGGAGCTCCCTGACCGGGTGAGGCCCTGGTCCGCGCCTCAGTCATGGTTCTCATGTGGCCAGAGGCTGCCCCCTTATTCTTATTCTTCCCCTCCCCCATCCCTCACCTAGGGTCACCCCCATACATGTACATTTTAGCTGCTGTTCTCAATGTGCACACACGATTTGCCATTTCTAGTATCTCATGAACCCACAGTATTCGTGCACGTTTCAGTGTCAGTGGGGCTGTGGCCTCCTTCGCGGTCATTGGAGAGCAGGCTGGCCCAATCACCTCTGCACAGGCATTTGGCTTAAAGTGAAATCAACACCATTGTAACCCATCCTTCGTTTCCTTTTCAAGGTTTCCTGCAGGAAAGTGGGGTCTCCAAGCCAGCTGGTGTATAGAGTCTCTGATCATTCCTATGATACTTTTGTATACTGCTCTTCAGAAAAGCTGAACCAATTGCAATGTACAGTGTCACCAATTTCCCTGTGCTGGAGATATGTATATACATACATGGTGTAACAGTTGTATAGTTAATCCACCCATTTCATAGATGAGAAAACTGAGGGCCAGAGGGAAAAAGTCACTTTCCCTAGGGTCATTCAGCTAGTGGGTGGCAAGCAGAGAGATCCAACTCTACGGGCACATCTCCTGCCCCACTCAGTGCTTTGTCTGCCAAACCACTCTGCCTGACAGTGGTTCTAGAAATGGACACAGAAGGCTCTTCTGACTTCTCTTGTCCATGGAGGAAAACAGAAATGCAGCCTTTCCCCCTCACAGCTCCTGTGTCATGCAGACCAGGTTTCTCAGCTTCACCTGGGCCTTTCCCCAAGCCCATTAGATCCAGGTCCGGAAGAGCTCCTCAGAAGACAGCATGGTGGTGGCACAGGCTGCCACCTCTTCCCTTCTGCAGCTGATTAACTTCTGGGGTGAATTGGTGATTTTCTGAAAAATAATTTCCATTAATATTTATTAGATAAGTAGTATTATTAACGTAGTAGTTGTTGTAGAGGCTATCATCAAAAAAATCTCAATTACTTGATTAATTAACTTTGAAGCAGCAAAAAGAAAAAAAAAACAATTATAATTCCTAGATCAGGAGCTTCCAACCCTTACTGAGATGTCTCCCAATTCACTGACCAGCAGATGTGCTAGAACCAGCTTTATCAGTGCTCCTGTCTCTGGGACCTTACTCCACAAAAGCCCAGAATGTAATTCTGGTTTAAAAAATAAATTTTAAAAAAATCTAACATTATTCTGCCAGAGAGCTCTGAAAATAACAACCTGGTCTGAGCTGTTCTACATACAGAACCTAGCAGGGTGCCCAGTCCAGAGATGGCACTCCTGAAACACAAGCCCTTCCCTGCTCATATTTCATGCTCATGTCCTCTTCTCCCAGTGACCCTAATACATAATCAAAACTGGTTGTAAAAATGCAGGCACCAACTTTTAAGAGGGACCCTCCCTAACCATTGCTAGCCTGCTCACCTCCACCAAATTCATTAGGTTCCTCTGCAGTTATCTCCCATGGCCCTTCCCTTCATTGCTCTAAAGAGTGGCACATGAGCACACATAAATAGGCACAGGGGTTTCCTCCACCTCAGTCCCCAGGAGACATCAGCTTCATCAAGTCAGTCGCCCTTGATCCTTGTGTGTAAAGAAGCAGCTTCAGAGGATCTCACTCTTTGTGTCCTTGGGCAAATCATGGGAAAGGACAGCGTACAATGTACATGCAGGGTGTCTTTGTGGAACCCACCACCAGTGCACTGCTGCTGGCTCAGCTGGATTCTCAGGACACTGGCTACCTAAATCTGCAGTGGTTATATTTGATTATTTTTTCAGTTCTGCAGCATCACTGTCCAATAGAAATATAATGTGAGCTACATGTGCAATTTAAAAGTCTCCAGGAGTACATTTTGAAAAGTAAAATTAAATGTAATAATATATTTTATTTTAAAATAAATATCAACATGTAACTAATACAAAAATATTCATAAAATATTTTTTTAGCCGAGTCTTTGAAATCCGTTGCATAGTTTATATTCACAGAACATCTCAGCAGGGACTAGCCACATTCCCAGTGCGCAACAGTCACACGTGGCGAGCGGCCACTGTATTGGAGAGTCTAGTTCTAGAACATTAAAGTGAAACAGCATAACCTCAGAATTTCAGAAGGTGAAAAACTATTGTCCCACAGGTTAGAACAAACTTTCAAGCAAGGTTCAGCTGATACATAAATATATATATAATTTGAATTCATTTTCAATGTTTAAAAATCAGGAGATTGCCCATAAAAGTCCAGATTTTTTTCTCTCTCTCTCTCATTTAAAACTTACATACATTCCCTCTTGGCAGCAACCTGGTAGAACTGAGAAGCAGCTGCCTCCTGTACTGGAACATGTTTGCCATGGTCCCACCATCTAGCCCTATTGAATTACATTCATTGCACTGCATGCTCTTTTATTTGGGGGGGGGGGGCTATCTGGGTCTCAGAGGCATCTGATCTCAGACACTCCATTTTCTCTGAAACACATAAGTCATACTTGGAATGGCCCATTGAAGAATGACTGCTTTGGGTCCATCTTCATGCTGGCCACCCACATTACAGTGGACTGTGACAGCAAGAAGAGATAGAATAGAGTGAGTCATGGAAAGGAAAGGAAGACCCTTTAGCACCAAAGCCTCCATACCCATGAAGCAATTATGGATGAAAGACAGGAAAAGAAATTATATTTTTAAATATTGAGAAGTCTTAATGTAATTGTCCTTGCTTATGTATTTCTGCTTTAGGATGTTATTAGGTGATATCAACTGGAATGCAACGAATGGTATATTTTAGAGTGCAACCATCAAGAACTGTAAAATTATAGATGTAGACATGAAATATCTAATCCAAACAGATAAATTAAACACTCACAAACCCAACAGGGCTTTTTAAAGAGTTGTCAAGGATTTCCACTTGGAAATTTTCTATAGTTCAATTGGGAAGATGTATGGATTTTGCAAAGATGGCTGGAAGTTGCTTTTTAGTAGTTTGGAAGATTATCTGTAACTAATGCAAACGCTGAAGTGCAGCTAGACTATACTAATGTCAAGCCGAAAGAGGGGCAGACAGTGGTGGTGATGGACAGCTCCAGAATCTGTTTGGGATTTAATGGACACTAGTGATCCACTTCTCACACGGCACTATGGGAAATGCATATACTCAGAGACATTTTCCACTTAAAACACCTAGGGAGAAACAAAAAAATTAAAAGCCTCATGGAAAGGAATGCAAATAGGAACAGACACTGAAACAATGTAGGAAGGATGCTAAGTAGAACAGAGAAGCAAAAAAAGTTGGTCAACGGTAGCGATATCTATCTTCCATCGGTGAAAGTGGTCATACTCCCATAGACTCTCCTTATCTCTGGTCTCATCTAAGTTGTCTGTTTTTCTCCAAAAGCTATTTGTAGGGTGTGGCTCCTAATTCACTAGGATTTCTTGTCATTTGAAGCCTCTTTGTGTTCGTCTGAAATTCTGTAAGAAAGTGACCTTTTACATGGTTCTTTCCCTGACCTTTTACTCTGCTCTTCACTCACAAGACACTGGGTCCTGGGAGGATCCTGTTGCCCCTGATCCTGAGGTAGGGAGGAAACTTTGCTGGGCTAATGAAAGTAGGACCAGAAGAGGAATATTGAGAGAGGGTGTTAGAAATGGAATGGCCTGTGAGTAGTAGGGAATAAGCATAAACAACAGAGTTGAAAGGAAACCCGTAAAGGGTGAAACCAGCTGAGAGAGGCTGAACTTTTCACCATGTCTGGGAACGAAGAGTGGACCTGCCTGAGCCATCAACACTCCCCTTCCATCATCATCGTTTTGGACTGGTTCAGGCACCCCCCTCTCATTGCAGAGCCGCTTCTACTCATGGCAGAGGAGCAACAATAAAACCAATCTCCTAAGGTAGCACCTTCAAAACCTGATCAAAATATAAAACTAACTTCCTTAAGTCACCAGAGAGCAACCAAAAAGTTGACAATTGGAAGAAGGGAATGTCACTGGGTAAGTTTCCCATTTTTTTACAGTTCCTTATCTGAGGGCAGGTCTCTCATGGTGCCACAAAAAAAAAAAAAAAAAGGCAGTCTTACTGGCTTGAAGAACCAGAAAATAGATATTGGATACAAATACAAAAGTTAAAAAGTGACAGGACTAGGGTTAAGTGTTAATGGATTAACGTTACAATTAAATGGCAGAGATTGTTGGAACGGACTTTTTTTTTTAAGGCTAACTATATGCTGCTATAAGGGACATGCTTTAAATACGAGGACACAGATAAGTTTAAAGTAAGAATATGGAAAGAAGATGAACCATTCAAACAGTAAACAAAAAGAAAGCTATATTAATATCAAGATAAGGACTATTGCCAGAAATAAAGAGGGACATTTCATGATGATATAAGTCCCAATTACTCAGGGAGAGGTATTAACCATTAATATGCATGCTCCTGAAACAGAACTTCAAAATTCATGAAGAAACAATTGACATAAAAGGAGAAACAGACACACCCACACTCATAGTTAGAGATTTTTGTTGTTGCTCTCTCAATAACTAATAGAGCTAGACAAAAAAATATGAATAGTATTATCCAAACTTTTGACCCAACTGATATTTATAAGACACTATCCCAACCACTGCAGAATACACATTCTTTTACGCTTCAGGGAACTCTGAGCCCCTTGAGTTATTGCTGAAGGGAACGAGGCCCACTCTGTCTCCCCTGTTGCCACACCACACTGCCTTCATGTTGAGCAGTAAACCATTCAGAGTGGGCAGGAGGGGGCCTGATGAAAAGCACATTGCGAAGCATTAGGAAAAGGGGAACGTGAAAGGAATCAATGCCATATATGTAAAGCCTTAGAACAGTGCCTGGTGCTTTACCCTGTACTAGTCTCAGCTAAAGTTATGACTACCTGGATGTACTGGAGAGAAAAAGAGAACAGGCTTAGGGTACCAGGGTAGAGGGGTGTCCTGGATCAGGGAGAACCATCCCTCCTATGCAGGGAGACTATGGCCCTCACTCTCAGGGCGCCGCAGCTGTCACGAGAGCGACTCCTTCAGGAGTGATTCCAGGCTGATGCAGAACTACAGGAATGCAGCGCTTGCGGGCAGTTCCAGCTCTATTTGCTTCTGAGAAGCTGACTGCTAACCATCCTCCCAGAAAAGAGCTAAGAGAAATCTCTGAGGTGATAGGACTGGGTTTGTTTCTGTTTGTTGTTTTGTTTTGTTTTTGTGCTGCTTTGAGTGTTGAGGTCTGGGGGAAGGAGCACAGGAGGCCACCAGATGAAACATGGTAGGAGCTGCTGGAGGCCTATTTTTGCTTCTCCCCAGTCCTGGCATGGGCACACAGGACCTATCCCGCCCCCCCCTCACTGGAGAGCCTCAGACCTGTGGGCCAGTGTCCTCAGGAGGAAGATGAGAATCCTGGACTTGCAAGGAGCTGAGGAAACAGATGGGAACCCCATCCTTTGGTAGTCACTGGGTAGGTCTAGATTGTTCCTGGCTCCCAGCCAAAGCAAAGCACAATCTATGCCTCCCATGTTCACACCCATGCACTACATCCTGAGAACCAATGAGGCTCTTGGCAGGTGAATTGAATATGTTGTGTCAGAACAAGTTACTGGATGCAGCTGCTGTTATAATCATGGGAAGGGGCCAAGAACACTCGGCAGGCCAGTCTGGAAGGGTAAGACTGTGCACGACTCCTGAATTGCTGAGCATCCATGGCTGCCCCCACTCCTAAGAGGAGGGTGGTCTCTCTCAGCCCCTCTGATTAGATATAAAGTACATACTCTTCCACCCTCCTTGCGCAAATGCTTGTCAACCAGGAAACATGTGCTCATGCCCAACTAGAGCCCAAACTACATCTGGTCAGTATCCTGCTGAAAGGAAAACAGGACACTCTTACCAAGGTGTCGGGGAGCACCACCGAGGGGCAACAGGAGTACCGGAGCAGCTGGCCCATCTTCCAGGTGGAGAGCGGCACAACCACAAGAATCAGCATGAAGCCAACGAATGCAAACAGGGCCAGTGCCAGAGGGAGTGTCTCTTCTGGAAATGAAAAGATAAGAACAGGCTTAGGAGACACAGTGAAGATGAAACCGAATCCTGGGCCTCCCTCACTGTTCTGGAGTTGGCTCTGCCCATGGCCAAGATAGCAGATGCCAACATCCTGAGATTTTATGTTGCCCTAGTGACTAAGATTACCACCATTAAAACATTGTTCTAGAATTCAGATTAAGTCTTGGTTTCCAGAAAGCCCAGGGAAGATTAAAATATTTTTCTCGGAAAAAGGGAGGCGAATCAACTGTTAAGCCACTGGCTGTGTGAACACGTACCTCAGCGCCACTGCCAGGACGACCGCAGAATGCCAGGCCCCAGGCAGGGTGAGGGGGCTGTGCCAGGCCCTGGGAGGATGAGGGAGATGTGCCAAAAGAACGGCACAGAAGGGAACCGGGCGGTAACTGAAACAAAGTGTTTCACACTTTGCTCTTGGCATTGATTCATCTTATGGAGGAAAAGACTTGAGTTCAGAAAACAGTCACATAATAACTATGATCTTTCAAGCCCCTAAAATGGTTAAATAACTTACCCCAGCTCACACAGGTAGGACTGGCTCCAAAGCCTGCGGTCATTCTACTATGTAAATGGATCAGAAAGTACCAAGTGGGAGCATCTGGAGATGCGGAATGGGGAATGGGTTATTTCCCCATCACGTGACCTCGAGCAATTCATGTAGCCCTCTAGGCTGGACTGCTCACCAGCAGTGTGAAAGATGGCACAGCCAAGGAGGCTGCCGGGAAGCAGGTGGTCTCACATACATGGTTAGGGGCGCTGTACATTGTTTCAATGCAATTCCAAGAAAGGAAATAATGATATGTATAAAACAGCTCACAGCAACATCTGGACTAGCCTCAGCCTCATAACTAGTCTCCGTCTCTGCCAAAGTGGTATACCCACACCCCCCACCACCTCCAGGCATGCTCTGTGCATCTTCTTCATGGCACGTACCACCAAGAAAAGCTATCTCATTTGTTTACTTGTCTGTAGCCTAGCTCTCTGACTAAAAGGTAAACTTCATAAGATCAGGGACTAGATCAGCACATGACACATGATCAATGCTCAAAAAATATTCATTGAATGAATAAATCAATCAATGAATGACTATCATCTTCAAAAGCAAATGGAAATGACCTAAGACATGGAAAGGACCTAAATACCTCAAAAGAGGAGATGATTTGCTTATTATGGGACATCATCAGAGTAGGTTGGGAATTCAGCTATTACAATAAGAATTAGGATATATACAAGCTTGTTCACTACAGCATGGTTTGTAATGGCAAAGACTGGAAAGCACAGAACAGAACATACCTATTAAAAGAGGGACAACAACATATATTTTGGCACATATATACTGGCTTATTGTGCATCTTCTTTTCAAATGAGGTGGAACCATGTGTAGTGATATGAAAAGATGTTCACAATATACTACTAAGTGAAAATAAGGAAGAAACAGAAAATAAGCATGGTATGGTCCCATTTGTGCCTGTGAGTATTGGTATCACACAATAGCAGATTAAATGCTAAACTTGCCAAAATAAACCTCCTCAGTGGAAAAGATGTACCTCTTACTTTATATACTTCTTTGTTTGAATTTTTAACAAGCCTGATTTACATGGTTTTAAAAAGTAGTATAAAATGGCAATCAGAAAATCTACATGGGAAATGTAATGGATATTGTGAAAATGCTGGCACAAAGCATATGTGCAATACAATTGCAACATGGTCTACATGTGGGCAATGACAGAAGGGTGACACACCTTTGTAGGGCAATTTGGAAACAGCAGTCAAAATTCAAATGTGTATGCATCTGACCAAGCCACTCCACCTCCAGGATTTATCCTTCACATACCTCAGCAAAATGATCTATGTGCAAGGTAACTAATTAAAGCATTGCCTGCAATAACAAAATATTGGGCGGGGGGGTGACTAAAAGCCCATCAATAAGTAACTAGTTAAATTAGTTATATAGACACAAAATGGAATACTGCGTAGCCATAAGGGAAGATGAGGAAGTTCTGTATAGATGTGGAAAAGTCTATAAGATACATAAAGTGAAAAAGACAAGATCCAGAATAGTGAATAGAGTATGCTACCATTTGTGCTAAAGAGAAAGGTAGAAAGGAGAGCTTTCATGTGTATTCTATATTTTTTGAAACTTAAGAATGCACTAAATATTCAAAATAAAAATTATTTTTTGGAGACTAAAAAGTTATATACAAAAATGTCACTAGTGGTGTTTTAATGGCAGAATTTAGTGGGATGCAGGGTTTTGTTTTGTTTCTTTTCAAAGGGTTTGAAAAGTTTTAGGCCATGGAAAAATTAAGTCAAACAAAGGGAGCCTGTAGACTTCCCATGGGTCTCTGCTAGCTGAAAGCAGCCTTGAATGCAACGGGCTGCCCCCTCATCTGGTCGGACTCTCAAGCCACTGGCTACCTCTCTTGCAACCCTCCTCTGATTCATCTGGTAAACCAGCCTTGCAATATCTGGCCTCAGGCCTAGGGACCTTTCAGGGGAAAGAAAGTTCCAGACAGCTGCTCAAGTGACCACCACCCAGCCCCAGAGTGGACTCTTGTCTATACGGGAATTGGGTGAAGCACACTTTCGCCACAGGAACCCATCCTGCCTCGGAAGCAGCGAGGCCAGAGGAGCCTGAGAACCCAAGAAACCCAGCAGGCAGCTGAGCCTCCTCCAGGGGGGGCTGTCACCTGTGCAGGACTCCAGGGAACAGACAGGCCATCCTTACCTTGCACTTTGATGCATTCTGCCTGGCTGAAGGCGCTGTGCCTCCCGATGGCCTTCACGAATGCCTGGGCCTTCACACAGTACACAGCCCCGGGCTCCATGGTTTCCAGATGCACTGGAATGTGCCTGATCTTCACTATTTTGACGTGTTCCTTTAGGAGACCAGAAAACAGTTACACACTGAGGGAAGCAAGACAAGAAAAGGAGAAAAGAGCCAGGGAAGTAAAGCTTCAGATATGTCCTTTCCAGGATGGATACAGAATGTTCCCTCTCATTCACTCATTCATTCATTCACTCATTCATATTTGTTTATTATACACCTACTGCATGCCAAGCACTGTTGTAAGCACTGGAACATAGCATTGAACAAAACAAAGTCCCTACTCTCATGAAACTTATGTGGGAGAAGACAGACAATATGTTATATTTTTCAGATGGTGATAAGAAAAATGAAGAAGGTAGAGTGAGGAGGAGGCACTAAACAGAATGGATGGGGAAGATCTCTCTGAGAGGCTGACATGTGGGCAGAGACCTAAAGGTCAGAATATGACTGAGCTTGGAGGATGTGTGCACAGGAGCAATGGAACCGGTGGTGGGAAGAGCCTCCTCACACATCCATTCGTCCTCCCATCTGTGTATCCATCTGTACACCCTTCCAACTCTATCCACCCCTTGAGGCCTGTGCCCCTCATCTGAACCTGTGGAGGGACAACAACAGGTTCATGAGGGTCAAGCCCAGATGACTCAGGGTACATGCTCCTCTCTCAGCACTGGCCTCCCAGTGACCAAGGGTGGAGAATCTGAGGGAGCTGCATATTGCCTCCTGCCTAGGCCCTGATCTGTCCCCCACACCATGCCATCTGCCTGGCTGGCCATTGCATGCCCTACCACTGGGCCCTGACCCAGCAGGAGTAAATATGGAAATCGTCATTAATGCCCAGTCCACCTACCCACACCACCTTCCAGGGAAAGCGACCCAAACTATAGCCCCTGTGGAGTGGATGCTGGGGCGTATGCCCTGCTTCCCCTGACACTGCTATAAGGTCAGGGGTACCCTTCATCTTAAGAAGGGTCCTTCAAAGGCCAACCAGCAGCCTGCGACTCCTAAGCTTGGCCTGATATGATAAGCAGGACCTATCAGATTTTCTCTCTTGGGAATACTGAGCTAGAAACAGGGACAAAGGGGAGAGGGCACAGTGAGGGAGGTCAGACCTGAGAGGCCTTGATGGGTGGTGAAGTACAACCCCAGGAATACACAGAAGGAATGATGAGGAATCGGAGCCTGGGAGTAAGCTGAGGAGAAGAGTGCGATAGAGAGGACCCACCAGAGGAAAGCAGGGACTCCACAGGCGAGGGTCCTGGGGTAAGGGAGGCTGTGCTGCAGCCTGGCTCTGGGCCAGCTCTGTTCATAGATTCTATAAGAACCCCTTATTGCACCATATTCATTATGATAAAGTCTACTTTTGTTTGTGCTTGGACAGAACTTCCACCTGTCTGACTATTCCCTCCTTCCTGCTCCAGCTCAACCCTTCTGCTCCTGTGGCTGCTGCTATTTGACTGTTCCCTCTGGGACAGCTGACCTCTCACCCATCCCAGGCTGTAGCAGCCGTCCCACAGGGAGGGGCAGCACCCACTGGCTCATAATTAGGCAGGGTTATCCAGAAGCCAGTTCTTGGCTCTCTGCCCTGACTTCTGCACCCTGCCCGAATACACACCCTCAAGAGGCTTGTGTCAGCCTCATATGCTTTTGAAATCATCTGGTTAATCTGGGACACCCTGGTCTGCTGTACCTAAACATGCCAGGGAGAATGGCTGAGAAGACAAGCTGATGAGGGAAAAGAAATGTACTGAAAAGGTATTGTGTATCCACCGGTGTAAGAGTTTACAGCAAGGAGACAGCTCCCATACTTCAGTAAATCTGATCTGAGAAGGCTCCCCCTGGGTTGAAATCAAGACAGTTCTTTGAAGAGACTACTGGAATTGTCAGCCTACGCCCATCTCTCCTTTCCCACACTTCACTCGGCCTAGTCATCCTCAGGCCAACCCAGGCAGTGGGCACTGCAGGGGCTGGCTTTTCTCAACCACCTCTCAGAGGGCTGGACTCCTTCCCCAAAGTCTGACTCAAAGGCCAAGGCCAGAAGGCTTACCTTAGCGCCAGGCTCCCTCCTCCAGTAGGCCACGAGGAACTCAAACTGAGGCCCCAGGTCTTCTAGCTTAATAACCAGGTGGAAGCCATCCTTAGTGACCTCCATTCCAGGTGGGGTTAGAATGGCTGTTGGCAAGACAAGAGGAGAATCAAAGCCAGCCCCAGACAGGACTGATTTCTGTTCCGGGAACACATGACCAAGTCATTGTTGGAAACATGCCAGGCTCCTGGGAAGGGAATGGATGTAGCATGTCCACCAATATTCTCTTGTACTCAGCAGGTGCTCAGTAAATGCCTTTTAAATGATAAGCACATTTTTATTATTTATTTATTTATTTTAAATCCTCACCCAAGGATATTTTTTTTCTATTTATCATCAGATAGAGTGGGAGGGAGGGAAAGAGAGGGAGAGAGAGAAATATCGAGAGGGACACATCTACTGGTTGCCTCCCACACGACCTGACCAGGGCTGGGGACAAACCGCAACTGAGCTGCGTGTCCTTGACCAGAATCAAACCCACAAGTTATTGGTCCATGGGCTGACGCTGTAACCACTGAGCCACACCAGCCAGGGCGATAAGCAAATTTTTTTAAACAGCAAAGATTACTACAATTTACGTGGATCAGTGATATGTATTGGCTGCTGATGACTTTCAAACATCAGCAAATCAGCAGCCTGTGGATGGGTTGGCCATTCTATTCTCAGCCCAAGGATTCTTTATCTCATATCCTTAGTAGGGGATGTCAGAAAACCACAGGGTTTTACAAATTCCAATAACCAACTCTGGAAATAGCTGGGTCCCAAACAGATTGGCCAGCAGTCCCCGTTAATACTTTCCCATCTACAGGCCGAGAACAGAAGGGCCCACACAGGCAGTCTCTAGTCCCTGGCTAGTGATGATGGATCCATACTTGCCTCTCAGATCCAGACACTGCAGGACCAGAAGGGCACCCTATCGTTGGCCTTGGCCTGGGAAGTAGAGAAGAGTGTGGTCTGGGCTAAATCCCCCTGCACTAGGGTAAAGGGACACTCAAAAGAAAGTCATTTCCTGCAGGGAGTTTTCAGAGAGCAAAGCATTTCCTGGCATTTGAAGAGCTGCTGGGATAGGGGACAGGAGTTGGGAAGTCAAGGACCAACTGTGCAAAACATACCCAGTTCAGAGGCTTCAGATGAGCACACAGCACCACTAGTACTAGTACTGCCTCTGAAACGCCTCCAGAAGGAAGAGAGGTGTTTGACTTCTCCAGTTTTACGGCAACATGCTTAGACTTGAATTCTCTGATCTCCTTCTTTATTGAGAATGAAATTAGAAAAATGACCTAAAGTCATTTCAGTTCAGAGTATATTTTGACAGTGTTGGAGCAAGAACCTCTGTCCTATGTACTCTACATACTCATTTATCCATCCAGCAAGCTTAAGAAAGCAAATACTACTCCTGTTGTACAGAAGACATAACTGAAGAAGAGGGGGTGGGGGAGGGAGATAAACCACAGAACTTACATGCATGTGTGCATGAACAATGGACATGGACAACAAAGCTGGGGACAGGGCGGGGAGGGGGTGGGAGGGGGGAATCAGTGGGGGGAAAAGGAGAAACATCTGTAACAAAAATAAATTAATTAATTTAAAAAAAAAAAAAAAAGACGTGACTGAGCCTCAGAGAAGTTAAGTGATTTGCCTAAAGTCACACGGTTAGTGGCCAGGATTTAAGTCTGTGTCTTTTCCAGGTTTCTAAACTCTGCTGTGTGGTTGTTCAACCTCTGTACTCATGGATCTAAACTATAGCTGTGCATGAGGATAACCTGGGGGAAGTTTTAAACTCCCAGTGGACAGGATTCACGTAATTTTCTAACCCAGACTCTGGGGGCCTAAGACATAAATGGTTCTAAAACTCCCCTGTGACTTAAATGTGCAGTGGAGGTTAAGAACCTCTGCTCTCAAAAAGGCTTCCTGTAAGAATAGGAGATCTTTTTTAGGACAGCCTTCAAAACAAGTCTTTATATGTTTGAGGAGAAGTCACAGTGGCTTTTTTCAGAGGCAAAGGAACAGACTTAATGCCCTTAAGCATCACGATTCACTCGAGCTCTGTAGCTAACTCCACCTGCCCAGGGGTCACACAGGACCACATCTTCCACCTATGGTGAGGGTACAGAAACTCCAGTTCCTCAGCTCCTCCTGCAGCAAAATTTTTTCCTATTTATAATGGCCTTCTCAAGCACCAGTTGTTACTGCACAAAACCCCATCCACATAGTTTTCTAGGCACTCCCTCATCTCCCTCTGGCCCACGCCTTCCTTTTCAACAACAGCTGCCAGCCCCCGCAATGGTCTTGGCTGGAGCCCATACTCCCAGGAGCCAGGGGGAGGTGGTGCCTGGGCACTGTGGCAGAAGCAGAGCTGCACCACCCTCCAGTGCCCCTCAGCCTTCCCAGTACCTGGTGCTGGGATCCCACTGCTTCCGCTCTATCCACCCAGTGCCTGGGCAGAAGAGCTCACATTCTGCATCAAAATTCCTATTGGTATCATATCCCAATGGTCCCATTCCTGCCCCACCCCTTCCTTCCTCTACACTCTAACTCTCAACTTGGGCATAGCTAGCGCAACAATAATAATACATAACAATAGCTGAGCACTATAACAGGACAGCACTATATTGAGTGTTTATACATTTCATCTTGTATAATTCCCATAACTATACTTTGAGGCAAACTGTTGACTTTCTTACAGATGAGGAGGCAGGGAACGACCCAGCTATCAATGGCTGAGCTGGAATTTGAACCACACCCAACTCTAAAGGGCCACTTACCCTTCAAATCTATCCTTACCTTCCACAGCCCTTTCCAGCTTGGGTCCCCCCTCCCCTCACCCCCACCTTCTAAACCCTCTTGATTTCTATCCAATCTCATATACTCCCCTGAAACCTTTGACTCATCCCATTACTGTTTATGCTGCTCCTAACCTTCCTCTGTCCTCACTCACAGCAGAGGGTCTTCTGCCACATCAAGAAAACAGAGGTCGCGCCCTGGCCAGTTTGGCTCAGCGGTTAGAGCGTCGACCTGCGTCCTGAGAGACGCGGGTTCGGTTCCCGCTAAGGGCATGTACTTCGGTTGCAATTTGTCCCCGGCCCTGGTCGGTCGTGCGGGTGGCAGCCACTCGATGTGTCCCTTCACGTCGATGTTTCTCTCTCTCTCTCTCCCTTCCTCTCTCTCCCTCCCGCTCTATCTGTACAAAAAATGGAAAAATATCCTCGGGTGAGGATAAAAAAAGAAAACAGAGGTCGCCAAAGGCCTTTCCCTTGCCTCTCTTGCAGCTTCAAACAGGTCACATTATCGCCCACAACTGTCTCAGAGGAGGATCTGCCTTGCTCCTTCCCACCTCCACTCAGTCCTCCACCAGCAGCCTAACCACCATCCCCAAAGTTCCATAAAGATGCTTTCTCAAGGCCCCATTTAGGCGCCCCCTTCAGGCCTATCAGCAGTCCTTCTATTCCCCCATCCATGACCCTCTATCTCCTGGTGCTCAGACCCCTCCTGGTGCCCTTCCCTCCACCTAATTTTTAAACTCTGAAGTATCCCAGGATCCTGTCCTGAGTTATCCTTGTCCTCATATCTTGTCCCTGGACAATCCCACCTGCTCCCAAGCCTTTAGCTAATAACTTTGTGGTGTATGTCTGGCCTCAATCCATCTGAGTCCTGGGACCTGGTTTTCAGCTGTCAATCAGACCTCTTAGCATGATGTCTTTTAGGAATTTCTATCTCAAAGAGCCCAAAGCAAGAAGTGTCTCCTATTTCTCCAGACTAGTTGTCCCTCCTGAGTTCTCTACCTTGAATGACATTCTTGCCAACCCTAACTGGAAGCTGGATACCACCGTTGTCTCTCCCAACAACTGGTCTCCAAACTCTGTCCTAACTCAGCCATGTCTCAAATTTGTCCTCTCGTCCCCCATCCCTTCTTTGACTCCTGGGATCAGGACCCACCTGGGCCTTCTTCACTCTTCCCCTGCCCTGCCGGCTTGTTCTCCTCCAGTTTCTTTTCACACAGAAGCCAGTGATTGTTCTGTAAGACAAATCTGGCCTAGACACTCTTTTTTTCCCCATGACTTCCCTCTACTAATTTGATCAACTTCACATAAAAGTCCTTCACTCATTCAGTCCTTGCTCCTGCTACTCCCAAACACACACACCCTTTTACACATTGGCCATTGTTTGTGCTCTGCCATATTTGGCCTCCTATCTGTATTCTTCCCTTATTTCTTTCTCAGTCATTTTCCAGGTACTATTGCTACAGAAAAGTTATTTGTTTCCCATTGACCATAGAAGGCAGCTATTTCTGGTGGCTCTGTTAAATGTATGAATCCTATTGCACAAAGCAAAGTTGCTCACACAGTCAACAAACATGGCATTAGTGAGGAATCAGATGGGAGTCACTAGGTTTATTGAGGCACTGTCAGCATGGAAAGAAATCCTATCCCCATCTCCCCACTTCCAGAGCAGCTCTCCTTCCAGCTTTGCCATTTCAGTGTTCCCATCACCTACAGACCCTGACAGAGATAGAGAATGACTTCCAAAGCCCTTTTCAAAATGAGAAAGAGGGCATATGAGAATCAGTTGGCTTTTTTTTTTTTTTTTTTTTTTTAATGAACCAGTTAGGGTTGTTGGTGTTCATAGTACTCTGGTTTTGCAAGACTGATTTGATGCTAAAAAGAATCCTGAAAAACTCAGAGAACATGGTTTCTGAAGGGGAAGGCTGGTGCCAATGGGGAAGTAAAGAGAGAAGTATCTTACTTGAGTTTCGATTAAAGGGGTGCTTCAGGGTGCTCCACGCTGAGGTCTTAGAGCCGAGGGTGGCCCTGACACGGAGGTTGTATGGCACGGTGGCAGTGATGTCATCAGTAACATCACACTCAGGATCTTTGGTAGGTGAGCACCTGCTGCTGGGGATCCAGAGGTGGCTCATGTACAGGCTCTCATACTCTCTGGCCAAGGAAAAGAAAGCACAGCGTCACACCAGCCCCTTCTACCCAGGTTTAATGATTGTTGCAAGTAACTGCCTTATTCATCTGCTTTTCGTGGGTCAGCAAAATAAACATTTGCTCCACACTCCAGCTCCTCCACCGCCCTCCTCCCTGACCAACCATCCATTCTTTCTTACTACTTTTATGACCAAACAAATGAAACCTAGGCATAAGCTTCAATGTATCCAAGTCTCTCCATCTCCATGGGTCATCACTTCAATTTCAGCCGCTGTCTTCCCTTGCCTTGCCATGATCTCCTAACTGATTTTCCAGCTTCAACTCCTGCTAGTCTCCAACCATTCATCAATCAGAAAATCATGACATTTCTAGCCTAATGGCTTCCAAAACACTTAGAATGAAATCAAAACTTTTTCCCATGGCCTACAAGACTCTCTGGCCCCTCATCTCTCCACCCTACACATGCTCCTTCCTCCACACTGGCCTCCTCGCTGAGCTCTTTTTACCTTAGGACCTCTCACTAGCTGTTCACTGTGTCTCAAATGCTGTCCCTGTTGTTCACATTGGCTGGCTCCTCCTGTCCTTCAAATGTGGGCCTAAATGTCATTCCTCAGTCAGGCCTTCCCTGATCACCTAATGAAAAGGAGCCACAGAGCCAACCGTCTTTTGCATAATCCTGTTAGCTTCCTCCCAGCACTGAATAAGGTCTGAAATTACCTGGAGCAGTGCTGCCCAGGAGATCTTTCTGCTGTGATGGAAATGTTCTATATTGGTGTTGTTCAATATTGTAGCCACTAGCACATGTGGCTATTGGGAATTTGAAATGTGAGTAGTGTGCCTGGGAAACAGACATTTTCATTTAATTTAAATAGCTCTCTGTGTCTAGTGGCTACCACACTGGACAGTGCAGACCTGGGTATTTATTTTCTTTACCTTTTTACTGGCTGCCTCCTCCTCTAAATGTAAGCTCCCTATATTCAGAAACTTTGTCAACCATACCCTGAGCTTAGAAGAATGCCTACACATGTAGGTGCTCAATTTGCATGTATTGTTAATGAAATATATTGAGCACCTCTATGTCCCTGTCATTCGTCAACGGCTCTGAGGCTCTGAACAACTGCAGAGGAGCAGACACTGCTTGGCCCCAGGACAGCTGACCTGTAGGGTCACAATTTGTTTTGGCTCATAGACAGGAAAACTGAGCTCTCCCCCACCCACAAAGGATCTGAGTCTCCAGTGACCTATCCATCTGAAGTCAGAGTCAAACTCATTTCATAAGATTTTCTTCAGCATTAGATGGTTGACTCACTATTGAAAAGAAGCTCCACCAAAATGTTTTTATACACATGTGGGTTCCCAGAGAGTTCACTATCAAATGCACAGGACAATTTCTCTTGCTTCTTCAACTCTCCCAATGCCCACGCAGACAGAGGCGGCGGGTCACTGGAGATCATCTATCCCTGGGCTCACAAAACTTCTTTGCACTCTGGAATAAGAACTGTGCCTCCAGCAATCAACTACTGTCTAAAAGTACTGTCTAAAGGAGAAAGAAACACAAAACAAAGAAACTCACCCTTGGTACTCAACAGAATAGAGTATTATTTCTCCAGCCATGATCACTGGGCTCCACATCAAGAGATGCTTCATGTTAATTGATTGTACAGAGAGGTTCTGAGGGGCAGGCAGAGGGGCAACTCCATCTAGGATCAAGGCATATAGACAGGCTGATGGGCGGGCTCATACTGAGAAAATGCCACAGGTTTATTTTTTATATTTTTGTTAATCCTCACCCAAGGATATTTTTCCATTAATATTTTTAGGTAGATTAGAAGGGAGGAGGGAGAGAGAGAAACATAATGTGAGAGAGAGACATCAATTAGTTGCCTCCTGCATGACCCCAACCAGGAGCAGGGATCGAACTTGCAACCCCGTACCTGCCCTTGACCAGGAATCAAACCCGTGACCCTTTGGTCCAAGGGCCAATGCTCTAACCTCTGAGCCAAACTGGCCAGGGCGAGAATGCCATAGCTTTAAATTAGTTTCTAATGAGACTTCACACGTCTGTGAACCAGAAACCTCTAATTTCATCATACTTGTACTAATGCTAAATTTTTTCTATCATCATTGTAATTCTGCGTTTGGTGATAAAATGGCATATTAATATTAATAATCATAATGGCTAATATTATTGAGCACTTGCCATGTTCTATCTAGACTATGTGCTAGATTATTACATGTTTATCTCATTAATGCTCATGATCATACCGGGAGGTGAGGACTATTAGTTTCTCCACTGTACAGATGGCAAAACTGTGACACATTGTTTACAAGTCTTATGTTAGATCAACTTAGATGCAGGCCTTGACTCTGCCACTTACTATATGACTTGAAGCAAGTTGAATAAACATGAGCCCCCATCCCACATGGCAAACCCATGCAGGCTCCTACCAGCTCCTCAGCATCTCCCTCTCCCGCGGTTGCCATCCGAAGCCCATGCCTTCACATCCTCAAACCAGGCTGAATGAGGCATCAGCTCCCAGCTGGGAAGTGCACCAAGCCAGCTCAGAGACTCCACTCCAGGCAGACTGCAGACCCCTGAGTCAGCCTGGCACACAAGTATCTGCTCACACAGGTGTGTGTGGGTGTGTGGTGTGCCCAAGTATGCACACAGTGGGTTTACAGTTTGCACACAGAATGAAACAGACCTGTGACACTGAAATGCACTCAAAAGAACTATGGGCAGCCCTGAGGCTCATCCTGTGTATAACTAGGGTGCAATCTGGCTTCTCTGCTATGGTCCTTCTCTTCCCAGTTTCAAATGCTCTTCTTTTAATGCCTAACACCTGCCTCCCCTTGCTGTTACAGTCACAGTGATAACATCGAGAGCACAGTAGGGACTAGGGCCCTCACCCAGGACTTTTCATCTCAGTGTCTGTCTCCAGATCAGCACCTGTTGTTGTTAGCAAGCACTGTGACCATGAAGGGATGGGGGTTGCCAGGGACAACCCGCCTCGTTCCTCTGCTCCTCTAATGTAGGACCCTGGTGATGTACCTCCATCTCACCCTCAGCATCCATGGCCTGCCCTGTGAGGAAACACCTGGGGTACCCACAAGGGGGGCTTCCTGTCCTCCCCACCCCTAACCTTGAAATCACCCAAGGGATGAAAAGAAAAAGGCCAGCTGCAATGAGGTGGCAGGGGAGGGCGAGGCATAGTCCTTCCTGACATCCTTCCTCTGGTAAAGTAACAAAACATTTTTCTAGTCAGCTATGTGGAGAATGTAAAGCTATAATTAATCATTTAATAGATCTAAAATTGAAATCTCCAGGCCCAGGTGGTTTCAGTGGGGAACACTACCAAATATTTTTTAATTAACACTAATTTTATACAATCTCTTCCATGAAATAAAAGAGGAAAGAACACTCTCCAATTTATTTTATGAGGCCAGTATTACCCTGATACCAAAATCAGACAAAGGTCATAGTATATATGTTTAAAATAAAAAATAAACCACAGACCAATATATCTCATGCACTTTGATGCAAAATTGTCAACAAAATATTAGCAATCTAAATCTAATAATACACAAAAAGGATTATATACCATGACCAAGTGAGATTTATTCCAGGTATGCAAGGCTGGTTCAACATTTGAAAATCAATTAATGTAATTCACCATAGCAACAAGCTAAAGAAAAAAAATCATGCAATCATATCAATTTGACACATAAAAAGCATTTACAAATCCAATACCCATTCATGATAAAAGAAAAAAAATTCTCTTCAAGTTAAAAGCAGCAGGAATTTATCTGAACTTGATAAAGACCATCTACAAAAAATCTACAGCTAACATGCATCTTACTTACTTGTGAAAGACTGAATACTTTCCACCTTAAAATCAGGAATAAAGCAAGGATTTTCACTCTCACTACTTTTTATCATCATAATACTGTAAGTTCTAGCAACTGCAATAAAGCAAACAAAATAAGTAAAACCATACAGACTGGAATGGAAGTAATAAAACTCCCCCTATTTGCAGATGACATGATATGGCTATGTAGAAAATCCCACAGAATCTACAAAAGAAAACTCCTAAAACTAATAAGTGAGTTCAGCAAGTTCACAGGATACAAAATAAACATAAAAATTAATTGCAATTTTTATATACTAGCAATGAACGTTCATATACTAAAAAATAAATGCAGTCATCCTTTGATATCAGCAGAGTATTGGTTTCAAGACACACATACATCCCTCCCCCAAGGATAAAAAACTCCTTGGATGCTCAAGTCCCTCATATAAAATGGTGTAGTATTTTCATGTAACCTACGCACATCCTCCAGTACATTTTAAGTTATGTCTAGATTACTTATAATACCTATTACATTTACAATGTAAACAGTATACAAATAATTGATATTCTGTATTATTTATGGAGTAATAACAAGAAAAAAAGTCTGTGCATGTTCAGTATAGAAGCAACCATCATGGGTCTAATTACCTCATACATATCAGCAACAACATAACAGGGGTTTTTTTTTCACATATTTTTTTCCATTCATTGATTTCAGAGAGAGAGAAGAAGGAACAGAGTGGGGGGGAGGGGGGAGAGAAACATCAACTTGTTGCTCCACCCATCCATTCATTCATTCATAGGTTGATTCTTGTGTGTGCTTGATCCAGGATCCAACTCCCAAACTTGGTGTATCAGGATGACACTCTAACCAACTGAGCTACCTAGCCAGGGACATTTTCAAATATTTTTTATCTGTGGTTGGTTGAATCCATGGATATGGAAGGTCAACGGTACTATTTATAACTACTTCAAAAAAGAATAAAGGAAATATTTAAGTGAAAATCTAACAAAACCTATTTAGGATTTGTATAGGGTGAACTCCACAATGCTGGTGGGAGAGAGTAAAGAATATCTAAATAAATGGAGAGACTTACTGTGTTCATGGATTGAAAAATTCAACATCGTCAAAATGGTAATTCTCCCCAAATTAATACACAGGCTTAACACAACTTCTATCAAAAGTTCAGCAAGGTTTTTTTTCTGTAGATATAGACACACTTTTCCTAAAATTTATTTTTTTAAAAGGCAAAGAAACTAGAATAACTAAAACAATTTGAAAAAGAATAAAGTAGGAGGAATCAATCTACCCATTTCTAACACTTACTTAATTAAGTTTGTTTGGTATTGGCAAAACAATAGATAGATCTATGGAACAGAACAGAGATCTCAGAAATAGAGCCACACAAATATACTCAATTGATTTCTGGCAAAGGTACAAAAGCAGTTCCATGGAGGAAGGATAGCCTTTTCAGCAAGTAATACTAGAGCAATTGGACATCAGCAGTAAAAAAAAAAAAAAAATTAACCTCAAGCTTAAGCTCATACCTTATGCAAAAATTAACTCACAATGGATCATAGACTTAATTTAAAACTCAAAAATTTTTAGGAAAAAATCTTCAGGGTTAGGCAAAGAGTTCTTAGACTTGACCTGAAAGCATGATCCATAAAAGAAAATATTATAATTGGATATCATCAAAATTAAAATATTTTTCTCTGCAAAGGACCCTGTTACTGTTAAGAGAAAGAGAAGACAAAATACAAAATGGGAGAAAATATTTGCTAACTATACATATCATAAAGGACTCCAATCTAAATACATAAAGCACTACTAACAGTGGAGGGGATGAGAAGAGAAAAATCAAAGAACTTATGTGCATATAGGCATAACCAATGGACACAGACAACTATGTGGTGAAGGTTGAGGAATGCGAGAACAGGGAAGGGAACGTCCATAGGCGGGAGTGGGGGAAGGAGGGACATTTGTAATACTTTCAACAATAAAGATATATTAAAAAAATTCTTTGCACAAAAATTAAAAAAAAACAACAACCACCAAAATTTTTTCTAAAAACTACAACAGTAGAAATGCAAACACTTCAATTAGAAGATGGGCAAAAGACATGAAGAGACACTTCACCAAAGAGCACATACAGATTGTGAATAAACACATTAGGTATTAGAGAAATGCAAATTAATACCACAGTGAGATAGTACTACACAGGTATCATAATGTCTAAAATTTTTTAAAATGACAAAACCACCCTGGACGGTTTGGCTTAGCAGTTAGAGCATCATCTGAAGGACTGAAGGGTCTTGGATTTGATTCCCTTCAAGAGCACATACCTGGATTGCAGGTTTGATCCCCGGTTCTGGTCGGGGTTGTTCAGGAGGCAACCAATTGATGTGTCTTTCTCACATCAATGTTTCTCTCTCTCTCTCTGTCTCTCTCTGTCTCTCTGTCTCTCTGTCTCTCTTTCTCTCCCTCCCTCCCTCCCTTCCATTCTCTCTAAAAAAATCAATGGAGCCCTGGCCAGTTTGGCTCAGTGGTTGGAGCGACAACCCACAGACCGAAGTATCATGGGTTCAGTTCCAGTCAAGGGCACGTGCCTGGGTTGTGGTTTGGTCCCCAGCCTTAGTTGTGACTTTGTGGGAGGCAACCAGTCAATGTGTCTCTCTCACATCAATGTTTCTCTCTCTCTCTCTCTATCTGAAGATAAGTGGAAAAATATCCTCAAATGAGGATTTTTATTTAAAAATCAATGGAAAATCCCCCAGATGAGGATTAACAACAACAACAACAAAAAATGACAAAACCAAATCCTGGTGAGGATGCAGAGAAAGTGAAT